TTTTCTGAAATAATTAGTTAATGTTTGCAAATGCATTATTTATTTGTACAAACTTCTAAATGATTGAAAACTTAAAAATGTATTGATTAAAAAAATTAAAAAAATTACGCTGCTTAAAATAACTTTCCAAAAGTAACTAGGTTGAGTATAAAAAACACAACAGAACTTTGAAAGTTTGGTAAAGTTCCCTCAAATAATAATAATTTTAAAAAATATTATACTATAAATTGTTACGGTAAGGTTTAGAAACTTTGTCTAGATAATGTCTATGCCAGCTATTAATAACTTTATAAAATTTAATGAAACTATGATATTTTATAGGTACACTAAGAAAAAAGTATGGTTAAAACTGCCAAGATGTTTACCACCTTTCGGTAGCTTTAACCATACTTTTTAATTTAACAAGTTTCTGGCTCTATGGGGACATCAAAGAGCTCGATAATTTTTGCTAATGATTTCTGGTAATGATTTTAGTAAAATTTATAATAAAATATGGTTTTATAACATTTGATAATTTTATTATGATACCTTAGAGCATGGAATAAAAACCATTTATTCGGTTAAATTTACATTTGAGTTTTGTAATTTTTACAAAATTTGTGGTAGTAAGAACAATTATATTTAAAACCAGAATTTCTGTTAAACAATTACCTATATGAAGGGAAAAATTACCAACTGAATGGTTTAAATACCGTATATTTTTGTCTTATTAACCAGAATTATTATTTTTTTTACGGAAATGTCATTACTATGACATTTCTGTAAAAAAAATAATTCTGGTATGGTAATTTTATCAGAATTTTTTTAACCGTGTATAAATCATTTTATAAGAGTAGTGAAATACAAATGATTTCCTTTACATGAACATAAAAATCGTATAGAAAAGTAAAAGTGCATCTTAAAATACAAGTTATCAATAACGAACCATGATACATAATACAAATACAATACATAAACTTCTATTCGTATAATTTCGCATCTGTTATTCAATCAGGACATCGAAACGTGATGATCATTGCCACTTATGTCGAATAAAATATTCATTAAATTATTGCGTAAGAACTCGTGCTTATTTAAAATAACAATAAAAAAAACTTGAGTAATAGATGTTTTACTTAAAGTTTTAAAGCAAGGCATAAGCGTTTTTTTTTAAAAAATTGAAGTGTTCCAAAAAATTAGCAGAGTAAAATAATTTTCTTTTGAATACCAACCAACATATTAATATTTAAAAAATTAAAAAGAAAAATATTCAATTGTTGTCGTAATTTTTAGGCTTTATTCTGGCAAAACATCGAAAGGAAGCTCTTAAACAATTTAAATACATTTTTATAAATGTGTAATCGATGTTTTACTTAAAGCTTTAAAGCAGGGTATAAGTGTTTTTTTTTTTTTTAATTTTTTTTTTTCTTAAAATTACATCGTTTTAAGAAAATAGCACAGTCAAATTATTTTCTTTTGAATACCAACTAAGATATTAAAATTTAAAGAATTAAAAATAAATGTATTAAATTGTCATCGTAATTTTTAGGCCTTATTATAGCAAAACATCGAAAGGAAGCTCTTAAGCAATTTAAATACATTTTTTTAAATGAATTTGTTCAAGAAATGGTGGAATAAAATGACTTTATTTTAGATATGAAAATTCATTATAAATATAATTTATTTCATTGTAAGAATATAACTTCATTAAATGTTTATCTCTGATAAATAATTGAAATAAAATAATAGTACTATTTTGAACTAAATACGTATAGTATATTGTTTTAAAACTCTTAAGCATTGTAAACGGATAGGTTCAAAAGATAGTACAATAAAATTGTATTTTATTTTAGATAAAATTTCTTTCCTATATTATTCCCTTATCACTCCATTATAACTGATTATCTTCAAAATGAACGATAAAATTAAAATAACAATACTTTAAGGATCTGATTGTGTTATTTTTAAAGCTTCTTAGCGCGTATATACGTTTTTATAAATGAACAGATCAAAAAATGTAATAAAATGACTTTGTTAGAAATAAAAACTTATTTATAAAGATTAGTCGTTATGAGAATATCATTATATTTAATAATTATCTTAAAAATAGATAATAAAATTAAAATAATAGGACTTTAGTGAACTAAATATTTCGTGTTTAGACGTTGTTTTAGATGTACTCTTCAAACTATATACGTTTTTATACATAAATTGGCTCGAAAGATGGTGAAAATAAAAAGACTTTGTTATAGACATAAAAATTATTATAGAGTACTAATATAATATAATATAATATAATGTTATATAATATAATATAATATAATATAATATAATATAATATAATTACTATTTTAAAAATCACGGTATATCAAGTTTTTTATTCTGTAATATGTTCCGGTAAAAATTTATATTGCGGTAAAAGTAAATCGTAATTTCACTCGGAATTTTTTTATAGTGCAGACAATATTTACCTGTTAAGAAGTTCAATGCAATATGAAAAATAATAGTCATAGTTTTATATTTTTAGAAAGGAAATTACAGTTGTGGAGCATCTTGCTTACTGGTTGTGGTACTGCAAGCATCCTGCCTAGTATGTAAAGAGTTTTATAATTTTTTTTCCATTTATAATGAATTAAGGTTCCTCTTTTCTATAATTATTGAAAATGAAAGAGGAAAGAAATGAACTAAGGGTACTCTTCAATTTCTCCATGTTGTCCTACAGAAAATTATATGTCTGTAAGTAATTTTATTCATTCAGTAATTAATTAATATTTTTTTACAAATTTTTGTTACGTTTTANTTTGTCTAATTGTAGAGTTTCTTACATTGTAAGTATGTCTTGAGGCTCGGTTGCTTTAAAAGAAAGGGAAAATCGTGAGCAATTTTCTTCAATTATTTAAAAAAAAAGTCAAACGAAAGAGCGGGTTTCTGAAATTATTTGAGTTTAAATAGGGTTATTTAGCATCATTTACGGCTAAAATGTATTGTTTTGTATTTCATTTATGATTAAGATATACTTCTCCGTTTTTGTTGCTTATCCAATAAAATAGAGCATCACCTAGTTTTTAATTTAAATTATTTAATATTGTTTTACTCTAAAAATTTGAATTTAGAATACTTTTTTTTTCTAATGTTCCTTAATTTCAAATTTTTTTTTTTTTTTGTCTAAAATTTGACAAATTATATTTTAGTATTATATTATTTATTTATTTATTTTGAACGCATCAAGAGTTTGGTGATAATGCATAAATGTTTTTTTTTTAAAGTTCGACTCAAATTCGATATTTTGAATGAGTGTGTTAAAAAGAGAAAATGTTATTTTAGTTTAATTAATTTTTAATTTCTATTTGTGTCTCTTTTTTTTACACTTGGTATCATAATTTCTGATTTTGACAGTTTTTTTGATATTTTTTTACCCCGTTTCTAAATTTTATGGATATTTTCAACATTTTTAAATGAAACAAAGTGTTTTAAGTTTGATTCTTTTCTTTCGAGTAATTTTTTATTTGAATTGTGATTAATCAAGCTAATAAGAAAATTATTTTCAAAAAAACTGAGGTGACGTACACATTATTGAGTTAAAGTATATTTAAGTAAGTACACTTAAAGAATATTTTTTGAATTAAACAGCGCAATTTGAAAAATATGAGATTACAGTTTCCTACTTCCAAAAAGCACAAATATGCACAAAGTACAAAAATATAAAGTTGCTCATTATTATAACTTAAAGCAGTTGAAATTGAGAAAGTATTAACAAAAGTTAACACCTATTTGGATAATAAATTATTTTGAGTTATTTACCAATGCTCTGAAAACTGGTAAATTTTCTTTCTTCAAATTTTTACGGAAGAATGTATCATTTAACATGCATTGTATGACACGTTTTAGATGACGTTTTAAAAATGTACTAAGTTAATAAATTTAAAACTAAAATGAATAAATTAAAGAATAAATGTCGTGTTCCAACTTAAAAATTCTATTTTAGTATGATGGTTATTCAATAGTAATGAGTTCATTTGGATGGCTATGTAGTATTATTTAATTATGGTAGGTTGATGTGTTTCTTAAATGAGGAAATATAATAATTCTCAATTTCTTTGAGCTTAGAGTTTATTATTTTATCTAATTTCCAATGTGTTGTCAAAGGTATTGGTTAAAACACTTTCTTTGCTAGTTGACGCGTCTATAATAGAGCTCTCATGCAAAAAAATAAAAACAAATAGATGAATACATATTAATAATAATAATAAATTTGAATGATGAGTAAATTAGAATGTTTGAAAAATAACAGAAGAATAATCGTTTTCACCTTAACAACTGAATCAAATCCAACCAATTAAATTCAGAATCTAAATGAATAAGACCACGCAAAATATCGGGTCATTTTTTTATTTTGTATGAAGAGTATTTTAATTTAATAGTTAAGCACGTTCGACCTAGTTAATAGTTACGTTAGTTAATAATTAAGCATGTTAAAAAGGTAGTATAGAAAATTGATTGTATATTTTTGTTAATATACAAAACTGTGAATTATATCTGTAAAATTAATAAGTTTAACAATAGTTGATTTTAATGAAGGAAAAATAATTTTGAAAAAAAGTTTAAATATATTTAGTACTAAATTAATTCAAGACTCTCAAACAATTGTCTAATAAAAAAAAAATTTCTTTTTTCTTTTAAATTTTTCCTACTGCTTGAAAAACTATTTTAAAAATTTTTTTTCATTCCAAAAAAGCATTATTTACGATTTAAACCAAGTCTATCGTAAACAAAATGTTGTGATATTTAGTATAATTTCACCAAATCTCTTTTTAGATTTATCACTTTTACTAAAAAGTTTTCTTGCATCTCTTGTATTTTTTAGATTTCTATATCTTTTAAATTAAAAAGTTTGACAGATATTTGAAACAAATGATTCCTTACAAGCAAAATACCCATATGACATTTTGCTTTTCCGTACATATTATTTATAGCTAAAATGAAGTAAAATACGTAAACATAAATACAAAGAAGTTACTTACCAACTATGGCCGCTATCTTTAAAGAGATCCACAGAAAAGCCGAACATGGATCCAGGTACGCCTCTATGTACAACAGCGCTTTTTGTATCGATGTTGAAACCATTTGAAAAGTCACCCACCATCAAAAGAAATCCAAAAAGGGAACACACCACAACTGTAGTCCTTGTTAAGCCCATCTTTGTTTTTCAGTCTAAGTCCCCCACTATCTCTTCACAATATCCAGTTGTTTTCACTTGATTTGTTTACATGGAAGACCCGAAGACACAAAATTTTTCCAGTCAACAAAGATTCGCTTGTATTTGAAATAAGTCGAAATATTTGAAGATGAAATCATACATAAAAAATTATTTACTCTTCACTTAATTTGTTTATTCGTGATTTTGAAAAATATCGTCACTAAACTTAAATAATATCGTCTGAAACACCAAAAAAAAAAAAAAAAGGGAGAGAAAAAATCGTTTGATTTGAAAACAAATTATCGTCTGAAACACCAATAAAATTATCGTCTGAATTTTTTATTTGAAATTTATGACTTCCAACAGATTTTTAAAAAAAATATTTTAATTGTGTTACATTGTGATACAAAGTTGTTATTTAAATCATTCTTTAGTGGATAAGAGACGATACTGAAAAGGGGGCGAACACCTGCTAAATTGCAAACAAACACAAGTGGCTCTTGCAAGAAAAAAAGAAAGGGAAAACTTAAAAAGACAAACACAGGGGAAAAAGTAGATCACAGTTGAAAACGGCAAGGTGACGGTTTCTTCGTACAGGCGGGAGGAAGTGTTCAGGCTCCGACCAGTGCAAGATCCCGCTCCCAAATAAAGCTAAAGCGTGTCATGTTCTTTCATTGGGAGGGTGCCAGTCTTTGTGACGTACCCCTGATACGTCCCGTCTTTACTCATCCTGCTTTAGTTTCTTGTTTTTAAAACTTCCCTTTTCACTGTTTTATCCGAATCTTGGGGGAAGGTAAACGAGTGAGGGTGTCTTACGCTTGTTCCAAAGTGTGAGGAGCGCGCTTCCGCAGAAAGGGGGGAGACTTTTTCAAGGAGATTGAATGGTGAGAGAATCTACTGCACACAAGGTTCCTTTGTAATACTTAGGATCATTACAAAATAGCAAGTTTAACTATTATTTATTTAAATCTGGACTGCTCAGTGTTACTTAAGTTATTTATAGCTACTTAATAGTTTGATAATTTGTCTCATTAACAGAGAAACAAACTAAGTTATAGAAAATGTAAAAATTAACCTTTTTGCCATTGAATCTTGGAAACACACAGGCAATAGGACATCATTACCAAAAAAAAAAAAAGAAAAAGAAAAAAAAGAGAAAGAGAGAAAGAAAAATTATGCTATATAAAGTGCACAAGTGAATTAGCGAAGTTTTTGTTAACACTTTTATTTAAGATATTTATTATGTTAAAGTATAAATCTTCAAATAAATCGTTCCTAAAATATAAGAATTCAAAAACGCTGGTTCATATTATAAATTGTATAATTTTTTTAAAAAATAAATTTATCATAATTACAATGTATAGAGAAACTATTAACCAAATTTAATTCAAATTTTGTATTTACAGATTCAAAATAAAACTATAAAGACCACCGTAGTTACTGTTTGCATTTGTGACTCTGCGGTAAAATGCGTTTTCTTAATACTTATACCTTTATCCATTAAATACCCTACATAGGGTACCAATAAAGGCTAGGGCAAAGTGTGGGGTTTTGGGGAATATTTACGATACTTTTTTAATCAGCAAACGTATTAGTTATTTGTAGTGAGTAAAACTTATTAGGTATCAATCATTGTTGTAGTTTTTGAAAAGCTCGGATAAAATGATTATAGTTTTTCCTATTTAGATAAATTATTATCCCCAATTTTAATCGGATAAAATGGCCACAAATAGTGAATTTACACGTGTAGGTAAATCAGTGGTTCTAAATGTTTTTTGACAACGGTACCCTAAATAATCTTCTTCTTTCAGCGGCCCCGAATTACGGGTCATATCGTAATGAAAGAGTAAAAGAACTGCTATAAGCGTTGAAAATTATTAGGGAAACATATTGCTTTATTGAACAATTTAGTTATTTTATTTTAATTTGGATTGCGTGATAGGAAATGCTAATGCAATATTTTATAAATGCTTGTTCTTTCCATAACTTGTTTATTACATAGTTATTAGAAATAGAATATTTTATTTCAAAAAATGACATTTCTATATCATTGGCGTTTAACTTGAAATAATTTCATGAAGGCAACCGAAAGATTAAATAAATTATGAATTATTGGTTGGATTTAAATATGATCAAGGTTTTCAAAGCTCATCATTACAAGGTTATAAAAAGAATGGAACCCCTTCAACTCTTTCACGGAACCCTAGGGTTAAAAATGTGTATACAACAGAACAAAACTAAAATAGTAATATAATGTAAGAATAAATTTGAAGCATAAGTGTTATTTTGGATAAATTTTCAATAATATATGGTGGCCTAATAAAATTAGAAAGCAGCAAAAGTAAACTAAATGGTAAGAGCGATAAATAAATTTTCTTTAAAAAAAAAGAAAAAAAGTTGGGACCTTCATCTAACAGAGTGGATTGATAATGGCTGAAGATGTTTATGTTAATTACTGCAGTGGCAGGAATGTAGTAGGGTCGGTAGTAAGATCCGTCACTTTTTACTAAACGGAACTCCGTTCCGGATCTAAAATTATAGCATTGCACGTTTTCATTTTATTCATTCATATTTATTTTTCTCTAAAAAAGGCAAAGTCGGCTAAAGAACTAAGTATTTTTCTTTCCTTAACACCATTCTAATTGAAATAGATTATCATTGATAAATCTTGAAAGACCACCGAAATCAAAGTGCCCCCTTTACTTTAGTCATTATCAAATAAAAGAATGGGCGTTGAATTTTCCAAAAATACATACATATGGCTATATTAACATCCATATATTTATATTAACAAATATACAATCTATAATATATTTGTAAAATAATTTTAAAATACATTTCTTTTGTCCTAGAATTTCTATACGTAAAGAATTTCTATACGTAAATCGCTGATTATGATATTATGATCTGAGACAGGTTAAAAAAGGCTTCGTAGCTCTCACTTCGGTTCAACTCTTAATTTTGCTAGTAAGTATTTCAGTATTTTTTTTTCCAATAATAATATTAATTGCTGCAATTAAGGGGTTCGACTGAGGGAAACTTTATTAATTGTTTTTATATTTTCCTTACATGAGGATGAATTTTGATATTAAAAGCAAGTGACAAGGTGGGTGTCAAATTTGCCAAAAACCCATACATATACTATAACATGTTTTTGAAATAATTTTAAAAACTATTTCTTTTGTCCGAGTCTTTCTATACTTAAAACAGAAGGGCCGTGATAGACTGGTAGTATATGGTGACTGATGCACGTTAAATCTGTTCAGTTGCTAAGTCCAATACCTCTGACCTAATTAATATCTTTGAAGGTACTGATCCAGGAGTTTCCTTGTCTTCTGGATTGGTTCAAAATTGCAAGGCTTCAGAGTTGAACATTAGTAGTCGTTAACTCAAAATTGGGACAGCTGTTCAACGACAGATATAGTATAATATAATATAATACTTAAACCAGAGCTATTACCAATTCATTTCACAATTTTGTTATGAAGCATTTTCGTAATTATTTACGCAATATTATTAATAGCTTAATTTCAGGGGTTGAACTGAGGGACATTTTAATAATTTTTTATAATTTTCTGGATGGAGACAGATCTTTGAGATTAGAATCAAATTACGGGTTCGGCATCAAATTTTCAAAAAACACATACGTATGCTATAATATGCTTGTAAAATATTTAAAATTTTTTTTTCCTTATGTACTATTATAAAGCCTTCATAGCCCTCATGTCAAGGGTTAAACTCTCAAATTTGTCAGCATGAATTTCCGCATTTTTTTTTTTTACATAATAATATTAATTTCTTCAGTAGAGTCACTTGAGGGGTTCAATCTTCAAATTTTCCATAAACCAATCCATATGCTATATCATGTTTGTAAAATAATTTAAAAGTTTTTTTCTTTTGTTCTAGTCTTTCTATATTTAAACCAGATGCGGCGCTTAAATCGCTGATTACCATTTATTATATGAGACGGGGTAAAATGGCCTACGTAGCCATCTCTTAAATAACTGATAAATAGTAATTATATGGGACTGGGCGATATAGTCTACGTAGCCCTCTTCTAAAAGGTTCGTTTCTCAATTTCATTATGACGCATTTTCGCAATTATTTATAGCTATAAATAATAGCTTAAATATTCATAGCGTAAATATTTATAGTTTATTATTATTTCGTGTTATTTACAGCTGACAGGGTCGCGCAGTGGGTTGATCGTTAAGACACGGTTCTCAGAAGATCACTGAAGTCAAGCATCAGTGGCTGCAGTCACTGAGCGGGTGGGTGACCACTAGGATCAGTCTGCGTAGGGACCGAGGGCGTGCGGTATTGGTCCTCGTTAAATTGTTCTACCGTGAAGTGCTCGACTTCGCATGCAGGTCGTCGGGCTACCGAAGCGGGGATGTCATCTCCTCTGCAGGGGATCAAAATTGTGATGGCAAGTCTTCGGATCATCCTCAGGGATGGTTCCCGGACAGCCGCCAATAGCCTTTGTGCAACTCTAGTGCGACGTAAATGAACTACAATAACAACTTATAGCTGACAGGATGGAAGTCAAATTCTTCAAATACCCATGCATATACACCATGTCATGTTTGTAAAATAATTTTAAAAATTGTTTCTTTTGTCTTAGTCTTTTTGCATTTTAACGCTTAAATGCAAACGCTTAATCGCTGATTATGCAATTTTGATATGAGACGGAATGTGATAGTCTATGTAGCCCTCTCTTAAAGGATTCATTTCTCAATGTCGTTATAACGAATTTTCGTAATTAATTATTTAGGGGTTCAACTGAGGGACAATCGATTAATTTTTTTGGTAGAAGAAAGAATTTTGATGTCAAAATCAAGTTACAGAGTTTGTCTCAAATTTTCTAAGAACCTATACAAATGCTATGTTAAATTCGTAAAATATTTTCATTTGTTCTAGATTTTGCGTACCTAAATCATAGGGGGGGGCTTAAATCGCTGATTACGCAATTATTATTTGAGATGGGTTAAAAAAAGAGCTACGTAGCCCCCTCTTAAAGGGTTCGTTTCTCAATTTCATTATAACGCATTTTCGTAATTATTTACATAATATTAGAGGTAGGTAGGAAGGCACTTTATTTTCGTCGCACTAGAGCTGCACAATAGGCTATTGGCGATGGTTTGAGAAACATCCTTCAGGATGATCCGAAGACATGCCATCGCAATTTTGATCCCCTGCGAAGGGGATGCACCCCCCTGTTTTTGTAGCCCGAGAACCTGCGTGCGAATTCGAATACTTTACGGTAGAATAGTTTAATGAGGATCGACACCGCGCACACTCAGTTCCGACGCAGGCTAATCAAAGTGGTCACCCACCTGCTTACTGACCACAGCCAGTGAGGTTTGACATCGGTGTTTTACTGGGAACCGTGTCTTTACGATCAGTCTACTGCGGGACACATAATATTATAATTAGCAGAATTTGAGGGGATGAACTGGGGGGGGGGGCACTTTAATTTTTTTTTATAATTTTCTGGTATTGGAGAGAACTTTGAGATGAAAATCAATTGACCGAGTGGGTGCCAAATTTTCTAAAAACACATATATATGCTATAGAATATTTGTAAAATATTTAAAAAAAAAAAAATTCTTATGTCCTAGTCTTCCTATTCTTAACGCATTTTGCGCTTAAATCGCTGATAATCCAAAAAAAGGCTTCATATCCCTCACTCAAAGGGTTCAACTGTCAATTTTTTTTATAACGCATTGCCTTGCTTTATTTTTGTATTAGTTTTAAATGCTGCATTTGAGGGGCTGAACTGAGGGACAATTTTTT